CTAAATAGAAATGTTGTCTTTCTTTTAGAATCAAACCCAGTATCACATTCCCTCGGCAAATGCTCTTACCACTGAGATATATCCCTAACCGTATGAATTATTTATGTATAGAAATGTTTTTGCAAGCATAATTATGTAATAACTTTATTACTTAATGTTTTGGGTTTTCATTGAACAAAAAAAAATATATTCCTAAATAATTGGTCATTAGGCCTCAGTAAGTCTCTTCTTTTGGTTAAATAAGATGACCCTTTCTTGCCAAGGGCTCAGAATGGTGGGAAAATTTTAAAGCACTGTCTCTATAGCATGAATAATACCTGTGCAGGCTCAAACCAGACAAAATCCCAGCGTGGAGAGGGAAGGTGGACACAAAGTCCCACCCTTAGTTTAGCAACTATTGGCAGCTGATAGCCATTGGGAGAGAGGGAAGGTTGTGGTGGTTTTTGTTGTTGCTGCTATTTGTTTGTTTGAATGCTGTGGGATGTCTTTCTGTTTGCTGTGAATATGTGTTGCTCCCATTGGCTAATAAATAAAGCTGTTTTGGCTTATGACAAGGCAGCTTAGAGGCAGGCAGGAAATTCAGGCAGAGATGCAGAGAGAAGAAAAGAGAGTAGGGAGAAATGCCTAGCCACCGCCCAAGGAGCAGCAAGATGCCAGCAGACTGGTTAATTTAAGATGAATGAGCTAGCTAGCAAGAACCCTGCCATAGGCCATATAGTTTGTAAATAATATTAAGCCTCTGGGTGATTATTTTATAAGCGGCTGAAGGACTTCGGGCAGGCCGGAGAAACTTACTACTACATTGCCATACCAACTTGGGGCCCTCGAATTTCCGTAAGGCCTAAAAGAATTTTAAAAAGGTATCTAGCCAGGCAGTGGTGGCACACGCCTTTAATCCCAGCACTCGAGGGGCAGAGGCAGGCGGATCTCTGTGAGTTCGAGGCCAGCCTGGTCTCCAAAGCGAGTTCCAGGAAAAGCGCAAAGCTACACAGAGAAACCCTGTCTCGGAAAAAAACAAAACAAAAAAAACAAATAAAAAGGTATCTAAACACACAATAACAGAGCCAAAAACAGCTTCCTACTTGTGTCTCTCATTTGGGCCATGGTACAGAGATACCCGCAGTATTCAGGCTTGAGTACAGCATGGGAAATTCCCACATCAGTACACAGAGCTGTCTCCAAGCTGCACAGCAGGATGCATGACGGATTTAGCATTTACTTAAACAGGCAAAGCGGGTTTATGGGCCAGCTGCATGCTAGCTGATGACAGCATTGGACCCCAGAGTTGGCTGGGTAAGCCGGACTCTCCTGGGTACCTCCACCATGTTGGGAAGCTGAAGTGGGCGGAGTCAGAGCCAGGGCTGCCACTTCAGTCAAAAAGAATATAGATTGTAGAAAAGAGATTTCCTTTGAGGTGAGAAAGTGAAAAACTCATAATTTTTGAGTAAAGGACGATAATTTAAAAATAAGCATAGTGAATTTTGTTGTGGGGATCTTTTAAGTTTTTTAAGGGCATTGAGCAAAGTTTGGCATTGATATTTACATGGTCTAAATCCCACAGACATTAGTATTTATTGGGTTTCCCTTAACTTGTACAGGTGTAGACTAAAACAAGTATGTATAGATCAATAGAATTCAAATTAGTAAGTTTATATAACTAAATACATGCAGTTTTGCTGAAACAAATGTACTTTTTATCCTTTTTATCTCTTAACATTGGAAAGATATTAATGACATGTCTTACTTATTTACTTCTTTATAATTAAAGAATAATAGACATCAACAAAAGAAAAGGATTATAGATACACAAAAGACAGATTCAGATGGAATAAACTTCTAAATTGTTTACATGTATGTAAAAATGTATGTAGGCTTGGAAGAGAGAGGAAAAGGAGGGTAGACAGTTATATAAAGAAATAGTTTCAAAAAATAGAAAGTCTTTAAAGAGACAGTAAAAGTAATATAATAAGCCACGTAAAGATGGATTGACCACTCTGCAGCGAAGGCCACATAGCCAAGAATATATGGGCATCACAAATTATACTTGATGGGTTTAAAAAAAAAAATAAAGACACAAAGTTGAGTGGTTTGAGAAGAGTAGGGGAAAGGGATGAATATGATCAAGATACATTGTTAGAAAATTTTAAAAAACTAATAAAAATGTAAAAGTAAACCTACTGTACATATTTCATATTTATAAGAAACATTTCATTGTTCATTTGTATTTTAGGAAATTTCTTAGATGTGGTTATTAATGTTTGTTGGGTTGATGCTCAGTAATTCAGTCTTTGTGTGGTTCTTTGTAACAAGCTTTGTAGAGCTGTAGGCTTAGAGCACATACTTAAGAAGACTTGCCATGTGATGTACCTTAAACAGTCCACTTCTTCATGACATGCTTTTACACAAAGATGTAGAGTTAATTTCTTTATTAGGCATATTAATCCAGAAGATAAACTCTTTCTTTTGTTTACTTTCAGGGATATCCCAGAGAAGGAAGGAAATACCCTTTGCCACCACCCTCGGGAAGATACAGTTGGAATTAGGCTTTTGTAAAGCTTTCCCAAGTCCTTTCATCATTATATACTTTTATGCTATTTGTGGAAAGGAGATTTCTTTCTTAAGTAGTAGTTTTTAATAAAACTACAGTACTTTGTGTATTTCTTTTAACTGTGTGTATATTTTTACTGATCTGATCTCACTGTTTTATGTTGCTTTCCAGAGATGTATGTTGCATAATACAGTGGGTCTGAATTTTATTATTGCTTGTAAACACATTTGATGAAATTAGGAGTCCTGGGTTTTCATTATGGTTAAAATTCAAACCAGCTTTATGCTGATTTTGACACACATGAATAATTAGGTATGGACATTTGTACTGCACATTCAGCAGACTAGAGCCTCTGTTGCTCAGCATTTCTTTGGAAACATTTCATTACAGTACTTGTCTTACAGAAATTTGTGGACTTTAGTAAAAAAAAAATAAAAATAAAAATAAATAAACTTCAAAATCTCTGGTGTCTTGTGTTCTTTATTTCAGCTGAAAGTCTTGACTTAGGAATGCCTGTTTTTGTAAGTCAACTTTTACAGAAAACAGTTGCTACAATTAGATGTCAAAAGCGAGTCAGTGGCAGTAGATTTGAACAGGATATGGTCGACACTTCAACAGAAGCATTTATTATATTAGCATGTTAATAATCTTTGTGAAAACTTACATTTTTACAAATTTCATACCTGTTTTCTGGTTTTAAGGACTTCTAAATTGCTTAAGTTTAGGGACCATCTAAAAATTCAATTTCAAAATTTTAATTTATAGCTAAAGAATCTATACTCAGCATATTTTAAATGATATTTCATAGTAGAATTCAATTTGGGCTCTTCCTTCCTTTCAGTTTAGCACACTAAGTCCCTAAATGTGTGTTTCGAGTTCACACACAGCGTTTTCATTTAATTACCAAAACAAACTTAGGACACCTTCCTGTAAAGACTGAGGCCTTGTCTCCATTTTCCATCCTAGCCTAAGCTTGTCTGGTAAGATTTCTCTTTGACCTTCTGACTTAGGACATTTGTGCTGTAATACACAGCTAAAGCACACTTGTTAATATTTGCTTATGTGGGAAAAATCCACCTCATCTTTGAATAGACAGGCATTTTAATTGTTGAGTTCACTGCTGATGCTGTGAAAGCAGCGGGATCCTTTTGTTGTTGAAACAAAGTCTCCATTAGGCAGTCAAGTTTGTATGTTGCCATCACTCCACATTATAGTAATGAATCCTACTACTAACTTCTCTCATTTTCCAAATACTAAAGCTGGCTAGCCCTCTAAATAAAGTACTGTATATTCCAAAGAGACCATATATCTTATTGTATATAGTTTGATGGATTCCCCCAAACCCACACTAATGCTTTTATTTCCCTGATTCCTTGGTTTTGGTTTAGTTTTTAAATTCTGATTTTGGCTGATGGGTCCTGAAGAAGTCTAAGCAGAAGGCCTAATGAAGTTATCTGACTAGGTTCCCTCTTATGAAATGGGTGTGTCCTGAGAAATCTTCCAGTTCCTGAACCCTTGGATCCTTCTCTTCCACCTCCCCAGTCTCTGACTGACTTGTAACCATGTTAGAATAGAAAAAGATTGTTATTTCAGTGAAAGTGTTGTTTAAAGCTTTCAAGTGGGATATTTACAGCTGTAAATGTCCCAATGCAAGTTTTAGTGTTAAAAGCAACAGGCTAGTTTTGTTACTTGTATTCCATTATGTTACCTTTAGGGCACCTTTTTTCAGAGTCTCTCAATAAATTGTGTTGTCAGTGCCTGGAAACATCTGCTAAGAGAACCTAGTAAGGAGCAAGCAACTTAAGCTAACTACCTTAGCCCTAGAGTGCCAAGGGGGTGATGTGAAAGTACAAAGCCATCTGTGAATGGGTATTAGATTGCCATTTAGCTTTTCAGAGGCAAACGGTATAATGACCGGTAGGTTAATTTTCTTGCAAAGACCTGGGGCATCAAAGCAGGGCTGTGTGGGTGTAGGGATCCTTCCACCTCTGCATAGAGTTCAGATGCTCAGGGGTTTGACTAGGGTGAAGGGTTAGGACACACAAGGACTTCACAGTTGAGGCTGAGCTGGTGGCAGTGCCTGGGAGCAGTGGGCTAGCAGGGCCAAGGAGAGTTAGCTGCCCCTCATCATCAAGGTTATGCTGTGTCTGGCCCGATTAGCCTCCCTGTGGAGTCTGGAAGCTGAAGCCATTGGCCCTAGGTTTCTGACGCCCCACAATCTCAAGGACTCCAAAGCCTGCCCAGGAGCAGGCAGACTGGCAGTGTGGAGTAGGGTGGGTGTGGGCAATCTCAGACCTTCCATATTAGGGGCACTGCAGCATCCTCTCTCCACTCCTTGGATGCAGCACCAAGCACTGCAGTCTCGACCTGCAGTTTCATCCTGTCAATTCTCCAGGCAAGAGCACACGATGAACCTGTAGGAAAATCAGAGACACAGCCCCACACCCCGCCCCAGGTTTCTGTTTAAAATTAGAAGTTTTGACTATAAGAATTAGTTGTGCCTAGAAATCTAAAATCTAGACATTCTCTAGAGTCAATTTGTCCCCAATCAGAAGCCACATAGTGGCTTTACAACTCTGTCTTTATTCTCAAGACTTCATACACACTGTGAACAGGTCAGAAAATGAAGGTGCCATCAACTGTATTCCTGGTGACTGACCCAGTCTATTTCTAACCAGGAAAAAGGTCAAAGAATGAACAAAGTAACAAGAATCCAATTCTTGAAATATGCTTCCTCAGTATTAATTCCAACAGATGTTCTTTGTGGCTCTTTTTCTATATTCTATCTACGGAATTGGGGTAAAAAGACAACATGCTTTACTTTGTATGTTTGAAATGGCACTAAAGCTATTCACTACTGCAAAATTGTGCACTTTAAGCTTATACAGTATTACTGGTTAATTTTTTTTTATTAGAAGTTACCTAAACAATTACTGAGGTTACAGAGATTAAAAAAAACAAAACAAAAAAACAGCATTTCATTCCATTTCAGATAAACATTCTAAAGCAAAACTAAACAACCAAAAACCCTCTGTCAGAAACTTTGATCACCATTAAACTTAGAAAAAGTAACCTGGAGATCTCAAATCCCCATACTCACTGGAGGGAAGAGCTCTAGGTGACATGGATGTGGTTCCCCAGTCTGGCATCTATGAAATTTCCCCTAGATACTCACCAATTCTCACTAACAGTAAGAAGGTGACTCATGTCTTATGAATGTATCCGAGTTCTCTGTCTCACTTGAGATTGTGCTTGTGGATAGCAAATAACATTGTTTCAAAAAACCTAAATTCAAATAATTACATACAGGGGTCCACCATAATACTGTGGTAATAAATGGCAGGGTAGTATTATCTGTGCTTTCATTGTATCTGAACTGGAATTTATATTGCTACCACTTAATGCTTTATTTTCTTATTTGCACAAATTGACACCTAAAAATCAAATCTATATGTCTTTATATAATTATGGCCCATAAATTCATTTTTAGAACCATTACCGTTCGGTGTAGTTAACAAAGCAAGCCTGTGGAAGGTGTGTGCATTTAGTGAACAGGATTGAGTCTCTGATTTGCTTTAAATTGAAAGTAAACAGCTACTAGCAGAACACATCTGTGTTGATTAACTACTTGTTCTGACCTTTAGATTGTGGTTCTAAGCAAAGCCTCAAATAGGACAACTGAGTTACACTCTCACCCTTGCATATACGAAACATCCTTCTTGTGTCCTTCAAAGCTGCACACGCTCTCATACTTCAATTTACATCCTAATGAAGACCACACGGAAGTACCTAGCATCCCTGCTGTTACTCCTGCAACTTTCCTTCCGCAGTTTGCTTTCCAGGCCTCTGCTAGAAAAGATGATAGACCCCAAAATGTATTGCAAAATGTCACATCTGCAGAGTTAGCATTTCTGAAACCCGGTTTTGCTATGGCCTCAGCTCAACTTAGAGAGGGCTTTGTTCCTCCCAGCCCCTGCTCCAGTCCTCCCTCTTGGTTGTGGAGACACTTATCCTCCTCTTCAGTTAATGAGTTTCACCTAGTCTAGCCGTTTGTATTTTCATAAAAGATCTGTGAAGCACCAACTGCAAAAGAAGAAAAAGGCTCTTGCTTTGCATTAATCAGAAAGTGGAATTCTATAGTAAAAACATTTCTTTTAATGTTTCAGGAATCAAACCTTTTCCTAATGTCAGGATGTGCTCAGTAAGTCTCCGGGTGTAGAATGTTAAGCCCTCTGCAGCAATTACCTCAAGCTTGTTTTTTTTTTTTTTTTTTTTTTTTTTTTTTTTTTTTTTTTTTTTTTTTCTTTTTCTCTTTTTTTACTAAAGAGAATGCTGAACGGAAAAAGATATGGTTACAGTAAATATACTTTAAGAAAATGGTGAATGGAAAAAAGATTGTTTGCCCCCGGTGACATTATTTTCAGTAGAGTTCGTTTAATTTAAAGGATTCTTTGTCCTGGAAATAAGTTATCTAGGAAAAAAACTGTTATAAGTTTATTTTCCTTAAGGGTATCACTGGATGCTCGTGGACCATAAAGCTATTGTTTTCATAAGTGTTGATCCGAAAAAATAAAAAAAGAATCATAAATTGTGTGGATTTTTAAAACATTTTCTAGAGGTAACAGAGTCAAATTGATGAAAACAAAGCACTTTGAATCACATCACATCAGTAATTAACTTTACCAGCGAGATTAACATTGATTTCTGAAGTCAGTCTACTAATGATGCAAAAACTCAAGTTAGGAGATTTTTTGGTATGTTTATCATACCATTATTTTTGTTGTTTTACTAATTTGTCTATTAAAATGCTTTAAAATTAAATTCCATCCTCCAAAAAAGCACACTGGTGGTTTGACAAAAGACAATCTCTTTGCTCCACAGCCCCTCCCTTTCCTTGAAGTGAGAGGAACTAGAGTTTATTTATTTAATTTATTTTTTAAAGAGGATTTACTTTATAAAGTACATTTTGGAGTTCAAGTATGAGTTCTATGTGCCTTCCTATACAGTTACTTGGAACTTTCTAGAAAAATGTTCAAACCATGAAAGAAAATCAATTGTTTCAGTCCCAAATTTGTTCTTCTAAAACCTCAAATGCAGAAAAGGGTTGGGGGTGGGGGGTCTCTCGTGACCATCTGTTTTGATGATTTGAAAGTACGTTTTGCCCATTTTATTTCTTTTACCTTCCATTAATTCTGTTAGTTCACACTATTCAGTCGGCTTTTCCCCCTCCAAAATGACTATTTTAATAATGAGAAATAATTGCCACACTCTGCCAAAAGGAAAAAGAAAAAAATCCCTACAACATTTAAGAAAAAGAAATGACCTCTTAACTCTTAGAAAAAAGTACTTAAGGTTTTTTTAAGTTATATTTAAATATCCATTTGAAATATTGGAAATATAAATTGGCATATTAAAGAGTAAGTACATTTATACAATAAAAATTGGTGCAACTCCTAAGTTCTAAATATGATGGAAAAGTATAATTATTTTAATTTTCTGTATATCTTGATTACAATTCAATAAATCACCTTAACATGTTTTAAAATAGATTGACAATAATATTGGCAATTTTACTTGCTTGTTTTAGTACTTTTAGTTCTTTGTAGAGGAGTTCAAATTCAGGCAAAAATACTTTAACGAGAATAAATACCATGTTTATAGAAGGAAATGGTATGTTTATCAGCTAATTTGGAAAGACCAGATTCTACATAAAAATGTTTTACAAGCCTTCTTTATGATGAGCTTCATCTTGGGGGTGGGGATTGCGCTCTTCTAGGATAATATACAATTACTTGGTTGCCTAATAATGAACAAGATATTTTAAAATCAGTATTTAAATGTAAAAACAGTAACGATCCATATAATTAGGATTTCGATTCTTTTTATTCCATTGCTCTGTTTTACCCAAATGGCAATAATTCCTCGGCAATCACGTTGCTGTGTATATGATCCACTTTGGGCTACAAATCAATTTACTTTCAATCAAGCATTAACGAAATTGCACTTAGGGGAGGGGCTTTGCAAATTAATCTCCCAAAATAAATTCCACTTCAAGGATTCATCGTGAAAGCTGGTTGATTTATAGAGATACAAACACCAACAAAGTTTCCAACTTTTAAAACTCTGAGAGCTTTGGTTAGGAACGTGGTGAATGTGGATCCCGTCAGTTCTTCGCATAACTTAGGAATTTCTGAAAAGGGAAATCACCACCTCAAAGTGCGGTGTCACATTATTCGGTCCGGGGCCATAGCCTTCTCCCACCCCCAGCAAAGAGGTTCAAAGAAGCCTGACCCTCTCCAAGACTCATTCGTTCTTATCTTCATGCACTAAAAGCTCAGCTTCTGTACATTTTCCCCATCCATTCTTGCAGTTTCTTGGCAGATCCTGCGAATCGCAGGCGGACCCCGGGGGGCCCATCACCACGTCCTGCCATAGAGCAGGTTGGCGCCGAGCACTCCTCCACCATAGTCCCCGGTGGCAGCGTCCAGGGCCGCTAAACCGCCCCCGGGACCGTGCAGCGCGGGCGGACTGGGCGACAGCTCCTCCAGCTCCTGCGCGGGCGTCGAGGCCTGCGGCTGCTGGCTTCCCTGGCCGGGCGTCGGGGTGCCCGCGCCGCCGTTCTGGCACGGCTTGCCGTCCTTCACTAGCACCGGTACGGCGACTCGGCGAGGCGAGGGCGGCGGCGGCGGCGGCGGCGGCGGGGGTCCCAGGCCGCCCTCCTGTTGCAGCTGCTGCGCCGCCTTGTCCTTGGCCTGTCGCTTCATCTTGTAGCGATGGTTCTGGAACCAGATCTTGACCTGCGTGGGCGTCAGGTGGATCATGCTGGCCAGGTGCTCGCGCTCGGGCGCCGACAGGTACTTCTG